CCCAAGATGCGAAGTTGGCACACTTGAAGTTGTCCCAGAGGCTCCTTACACTATCCTCATTTTTTTTGGATTCTTTTTTGTTTTGCTGTTCTGATTGGGTGTTTTTTGCTTCCTTATATTCCAAATCGATGGTTTGCTTCTTGGCTTTACCTACTCTACTATTGAATCTGTGTAAATTATTCTTTATTTCAGTTAGTGCCTCCTTCACTTCTGACTGGTCCTTTTTTATGCTCTTGAGGCCCTCACTAAGTTCATTGAGCATCTTTATAAGCAGTATTTTGAACTCAGCATCTGTTAGGTTGCTTATCTCCATTTCGCTTCGTTCTTTTCCTGGAGATTTTTTCTGTTTTTTCATTTGGAACCAGTTTCTTTGTCTCCTCATTTTGGCTACCTCCCTGTGTTTATTTCTATGTATTACTTAACGGGAGGTATGGGGCTAGCTGAGACCAGATGCTGCTTGTTTGAAAGAATTTAGGACAACCTGAAGCAGGATCCAAGACAGGCCAATCCTATGGTTAAGCAACTGGCAACAGCTTGGGTGGGCCTGAAAGCTGGGTGGGGCAGGGCCTCAGGGAATCACCAGGGCGGGGCAACCAGTGTGAGCCAGGTTGCTGGAGTCTCAGATATGGCAGCTGTCTGCTGCCCCAGGGAAGGTCTCACCAAGGGAACAAAGGCCTCTGACAGCATGTTTGTCCTGGATAAAGCCTCCTCTCCAGCCCTCGCTCCAATGCCAAACAGCTCAGTTCTCCCCTGTATGTCTCTGGCGCCCCTTGAGCTGCCTCCCCTCCAAGCTAAGAGGGAGTCAGTCTGATAAGTCCATGCGCGGGCCCTTTAAGAGGAGCTGCCTGGGGTTCCAGCCGCCTCAGCCTCCCTGAGCCTCAGTTCCTGCTGGTTTTTCCAGCCAGAAGTTATGGGGACTTCTCCTCCTGGCACTGGAACCCTGAGCGGGGCACCTGGTGTGGGACGGGGACCACTTCAACCTCAGGGAGGACCTTCCCAGCCAAGGTATCCTCCTGATTTTTATCCATGTGGGACCAGCCCGTCTGCCTCCGCCCCTCCTACCAGTCTTGATGTGGCTGCTTCCTTAATTCCATAGTTGTAGAACTTCCATTCAGCTTGATTTCAAGCAGTTTTGAGTGATGGTTGTTCTGTAGTTCAGCTGCAATTTTTTGTGGTTGTGGGAAGACGCAATACTGCGTTTACCTATGCTGCCATCTTGACCTGAAGTCTCCCTACCAATTTTTATAATCTCTGATTTCATTTCTACTGATTAATTTTTCTCTTGGGCAAAGACATCTTTCCTCTGACACATGGGAACGGGAGATATATATGTAATAAAATAAAATAAAATAATAGCTTCCAATGGGAAATATTTTTATTTATTTTTAATAAAAGGCTTTAAAAAAAAAAAAAAAAGCCCTGATCGGATTGGCTCAGCAGTTATAGCATCGGCCCGCGGACCAATGAGTCATGGAGTCGATTCCCGTCACAGGCACGTACCTTGGTTGCAGTTTGTTCCAGCCCTGGTCAGGGTCGTGCAGGAGGCACAATATGTCTCTTTTATTGATTGTTTCTCCCTCCCTCCCTCCCACTCTATCTGAAGATAAATAGAAAAATATCCCCAGGTGAGGATTAAAAAAAACAATTTTTCTCTTGGTTATGGGTCATATTTTTCTAGGGTTTTTTTGCATGATGTAATGTTTTATTAGATGCCAGACATTGTAGATTTTACATTTTTGGGTATTAGATTTCTTTTTTAGTGTGCTTTGTTTTTTTGTTTTAGTGGTATGTGTCCCTAGCGGGAACCAAACCCAGGATTCTCTGGTCTGCAGGTCGACGCTCAACCGCTGAGCCAAACTGGCCAGGGCTATATTTCTCTCTATATATATGTATGTGTGTGTGTGTGTGTGTATTTTAATGTGAGGGTTTTGTTTTGGGTGTAGTTAACTCAATCTGTTTGATTGCTTATTTTTCAAAGCCTTGCTTTTAAGCGTTGATTAAGACAGTCTTTCATATACAACTAACTTGGTCCCATTAGTGAGGCAATACTCTTATTATTCTACAGCAGTGATTTTCAAACTTTCATCTCATGGCACACATTAACTACTAAAATTTTGTGGCACACCAAAAAATATATTTTTTTCCTGATATGACAAAAATAGGTATAATTTTTATCGATTTACAAAAAAAAATAATAGTAATTATCTACCCTCTTTGCTCCAAAGTGACATTTTAAAAATATCAAGTGCCTATACTTGTATATAAGCATATCTGGTACCAAGAATTAACCAGTTGGATGCAACTTTATTATGTGATATGACCAATAATATGCAACTCTATTAATAATAATTATATGTTTATGGTTTAAGACAGAGCATTCACATCCAACAACTATTGTGTTGGCTGTTGTCATTTTTTTATTTGACAATCTAAGGGAAACCGGTTAGTGCCTCTGACTAAATAGTTAGGTATTGCATGTTTTGAAAATTCTTGTAGCACACCAGTTGAAATTGCTGTTTGACAGAACTGTCATTCCTGCATATGTATTAGGAAGTTTTCCCACTCTAGCCAATGGGAACACACTGTTCTTTGGGGATTCCATGGAGATTGTTCTATCTACTTCTTTCTGGTGGTTCTTTTTCTGATTTTTCTGGTTTTCTCTTCCACATGCATAGATCAATACTTAAAGACTTGAGGGTTACCTCTGCAAATCTTCAGAGCACTATATTTCTTTGTGGCTCCCTCTTCTCTGATAATCTGCTTCACAAAGTTTAGCTGCCTTGGCCTCCCCAAACTTTGAACTGTCTTCCCAACTTGCCAGGGCAGCCTGTCTCTGTTTGGATTCTCTTTCACAGCATTCACTTTTTTAGCTAGTTGGCTAGGGCACTTGATGGGCTCAATTTGTTTTTATTTTTTGAGGCTTTTCTACACTAATTGTTTTCCAATGCTTGGAAACTGGATATTTTTGTATATTTTGTCCAAGTTTTAGTTTTTGTAATTGTTTTTTTTTTTTTGTATCCTCACCCAAGGGCATTTTTCCATTTTTTGTTCAGGTAGAGTGGGAGGAAGAGAGAGGAACAGAGAGAGAGAGAGAAACATCGATGTGAAAGGAACACATCGAGTGGCTGCCACCTGCACAACCGACCAGGGCCGGGGACAAACCGCAACCGAGGTACGCGCCCTTAGCGGGAACCGAACCCGGGTCTCTCCGGACCGCAGGCCGACGCTCCAACCGCTGAGCCAAACCAGCCAGGGCCAAGTTTTAGTTTTTAAGGCTGAAGAGCAAATCTATTGTTATTTCATCTAAGACGGAAGTAGAAATTTCTTCCCTTGGATTTTGTCTTACTGGTTTCTTGCTGTCTTGTCAGTTCTTTGATGCTTTCAACTAAAGAGCATAGAAAGTCAACAAAACAAAAAATGTTTGAAGAAATAATAACCAAAATTTCTTCAAATTTGATGAAAATATACACCATCATATACAAGAAGCTTAACAAAACAAAGCATAAGAAGCATGCAGAAAACCACTGTGCTGTACATCTGATACTAATATAATATTGAATATCAACTATAGTTGAAAAACTAAAATAAATTTAAAAGTAAAAATAAAAACAATTACATTTTATTATAAGTCAAAAAAAGAAACAAGCAGAAAACACACCGAGGCACATCATAAGCTAATTACTAAAACCCAGTGATAAACAGAAAGAAAGCACCAATAAATAGCATCTAGCATATTTAGTTCTTTTGAATGGAAAAGTTGGTTTAAATAGCTTAGGCTATCATTATTAGAACTGGAAATCCTTCTATGTCTTGGCCACTGTGACTATTGCTGCATTGAACATAGGGGTGCATGTGTCTTTGTGAATAAATGTTCTAAAATTTTTCGGGTAAGATACCTAGAAGAGGGGTTACTGGGTCATGTGGTAACTCTGTTCTTAATTTTTTTGAGGAACCTCCTACTGTTTTCCATAGTGATTGTACTAGTTCTTTTCCCACCAGCAGTGAATGAAGGTTTCTTTTTCTCCACAACCTCTCCAACACTTGTTATTACTTATCTTGTTGATAAAATAACAGGTGTGAGGTGGTATCTCGTTGTAGTTTTGATTTGCAGTTCCCTAATAACTAGTGAAGTTGAGTATCTTTTCATATATCTGTTGGCCATTTGAATGTCTCCTTGCAAGAAGTGTCTCTTCAGGTCTTCTGCCCATTTAAAACTGAAAGCAACAAATGAACAAAGAAGAACAAGCAAACAAAAACTCATAGACACAGACAACAGTATGGTGATTACCAGAGGGAAGGGGGCTGGGGGTAGTAAATGGTAAAATGGGTCAAATATGTGGTGACAAAAGATGACCTGACTTTGGGTGGTGGGTACACAATGCAGTATACGGATCGTGTATCATAGAGATGTCCTCTTGAAACCTATATAATCTTATTAATCAATGTCACCCCAATAAATGTAATAAAAAGTTGAAATTCTTATGGAATTTTTAATTAAAAAATAAAATAGAAAAAGATGGATACCTTTTCTTTTAATTGTCAGTATTACAGATGTCCCCCATTTTCCCCTACTTTGCCCACATCCATCCAGCCCCCGCTTCACCCCAGGCCTTCCTCACACTATTATTTGTGTCCATGGGCTATGCATATTTGCATATATGTTCTTCGGTTAATCTCCGTTTCCTCCATACCCCTCCCCTCTGAAATCTGTCATTTGGTTCCATGCCTCTGGACCTATTTGTTCATAAAAGTGGAACAGTTAGGTGAGAGGAGTTGGATAATATTGTTGTTTCTCTGAATAGTCAAAAGGATAAAATAAGGAAACTGGGACGTGTTTTAAGTAGGCCTGGGTAGATTTCCCATGTTTTTATATGGTATGGAAGCTAGATGGTAAGTTACTAATAGAACAGTATATAGGATTCCTATGTAGAAAATAATGGAATAAATAGAAGAAAGTCAGAGTTGGACAGTTATGATGGGTCATTTTAATTTTTACCTAGATATGCTACATTTCCTCATTTTTCTACACCGTCAATTACATCTGGTATCTGTACAAAGAGCTAAGGATGAAACACACCCAGAGTGGACAGAGCACATTTTCCCTGGTAAGTTTTATTCAGAGTTAATAGTTAAGAATAGTATGCTAAAACAAACCCATATATCCTTGATAAACAGTGTAAGCACTCAGCACTGGCTAGGTGAATTCATGGAGGTCAGTAAAAGAAAAACCATGTTCTCACTAAGTTTCTATTCTGCTGACATGATTTCCACTTATCTCATACTACCAAAGGGAAAAAAAGATTTGTTTAGAAGAAACATTATGTACAGTACTGCCATTCCTGCCTGGTTCTATTCAGTAAGAGAAATAATCTTTCTTGGCTCTATGCCAATCTATCGTTGCTAAAGAAAAAGACCTTGCAGTTGAATGAACGTCACTGTGTTGACTTGGTGACATTATTTCAGTGATGTCACTACCTTCTTCTTACTTCTTTATTCTCATCTGCCATCGTCAGACCTGTGACCTCACAATAAGGGAGAGGTCACTACAAGTGGTTTCTCTCGACTTTTAATTGGTTGTCTCCCCCAATTGTATTAGTATTTTTATGTGTACAGTTCCATAATGTGAAACTTAAGTAGACTAAAATTCAAATGAACATTTCTCAGTCCAAGTTCTTGTGAAGGATGAAGTGTTTTTGATTCAGTAGTGTTGTGAGTGGAGCTATAAATTAGATGTTTACCTACGAAATTAGATCCTGCAGTCATTCTGAAATAAAGGTGTTACAACTCTTAAAAAAAAAAAAGAAAAAGACCTTGGTGAAGAGTCAGGGAAAATGCTGTCTGGTAAACTGGGTATTAGAAAAGGAAAGTGTTCTGCTGTGTTATATTTCTTCAGTCTGTGTGGGTAACAGATACTGGTTTGCAGGAGGGCAGAAGAATTAATGTTTAGTAATTAGAAAACATTACCCCAGGGAGCAGTTGTTTTTCCTTCTTTGGTTCAGAGTTTTGAGCACTGTCTAGCATTATAATTATGCAAGAAAAGAGAATACTAAGTCAGTACATCTGAATTCTTTGTGTGTGTACATGCGTATTTTATATATCATATAATTCACCTATTTTAAGTATACAGTTCAGTGGTTTTTAAAGTAAACTTATCAACTTCCGGTCAAGATGGCAGCGTAGTTAAACACAGTATCGTGTCCTCCCACAACCACAACCACAACCACAACCACATCAACTAAACTACAGAACAACCATCACTCTAAACTGCTTGAAATCAAGCTGAATGGAAGTCCTACAACTACGGAATTAAAGAAGCAGCCACATCAAGACTGGTAGGAGGGGCGGAGGCAGACGGGCTGGTCCCACATGGATAAAAATCAGGAGGATACCTTGGCTGGGAAGGTCCTCCCTGAGGTTGAAGTGGTCCCCGTCCCACACCAGGTGCCCCGCTCAGGGTTCCAGTGCCAGGAGGAGAAGTCCCCATAACTTCTGGCTGGAAAAACCAGCAGGAACTGAGGCTCAGGGAGGCTGAGGCGGCTGGAACCCCAGGCAGCTCCTCTTAAAGGGCCCGTGCATGGACTTATCAGATTGACTCCCTCTTAGCTTGGAGGGGAGGCAGCTCAAGGGGCGCCAGAGACATACAGGGGAGAACTGAGCTGTTTGGCATTGGAGCGAGGGCTGGAGAGGAGGCTTTATCCAGGACAAACATGCTGTCAGAGGCCTTTGTTCCCTTGGTGAGACCTTCCCTGGGGCAGCAGACAGCTGCCATATCTGAGACTCCAGCAACCTGGCTCACACTGGTTGCCCCGCCCTGGTGATTCCCTGAGGCCCTGCCCCACCCAGCTTTCAGGCCCACCCAAGCTGTTGCCAGTTGCTTAACCATAGGATTGGCCTGTCTTGGATCCTGCTTCAGGTTGTCCTAAATTCTTTCAAACAAGCAGCATCTGGTCTCAGCTAGCCCCATACCTCCCGTTAAGTAATACATAGAAATAAACACAGGGAGGAAGCCAAAATGAGGAGACAAAGAAACAGGTTCCAAATGAAAGAACAGAAAAAAATCTCCAGGAAAAGAACGAAGCGAAATGGAGATAAGCAACCTAACAGATGCTGAGTTCAAAATACTGCTTATAAAGATGCTCAATGAACTTAGTGAGGGCCTCAAGAGCATAAAAAAGGACCAGTCAGAAGTGAAGGAGGCACTAACTGAAATAAAGAATAATATACACAGATTCAATAGTAGAGTAGGTAAAGCCAAGAAGCAAACCATCGATTTGGAATATAAGGAAGCAAAAAACACCCAATCAGAACAGCAAAACAAAAAAAGAATCCAAAAAAAATGAGGATAGTGTAAGGAGCCTCTGGGACAACTTCAAGTGTGCCAACTTCGCATCTTGGGCGTGCCAGAAGGAGAAGAGAAAGAACAAGAAATCGAAAACCTATTTGAAACAATAATGGCAGAAAACGTCCCTAACTTGGTGAAGGAAACAGACATACAAGTCCAGGAAGCACAAAGAGTCCCAAACAAGATGAACCCCAAGAGGCCCAAACCAAGACACATCATCATCAAAATGCAAAAGGTTCAAGACAAAGAGAGAATCTTAAAAGCAGCAAGAGAAAAGCAGTTAGTTACCTACAAGGGAGTTCCCATAAGACTGTCAGCTGATTTCTCACAAGAAACTTTGCAGGCCTGAAGGGAGTTGCAAGAAATATTCACAATGATGAAAAGAAGAACCTACAACCAAGGTTACTTTATCCTGCAAAGCTGTCATTTAGAATCGATGGCCATATAAAGAGTTTCCCAGACAAGAAAAAGCTAAAGGAATTCATCACCACCAAACCGTTATTATGTGAAATGATGAAGGGTCTTTTTGAAGAAAAAGATAAAATATATGAACAAACAAAATGGCAATGAACACATAGCTATCGATCATGGAATCTACAAACGGAATGAACAGGCAGAACAGAAACATTCTCATAGATACAGAGAACATGTTGTTAGTTGCCAGATGAAAGGGGGGTTGGGGGAATGGGTGAAAAAGGTTAAGGGATTAAAAAGAACAAATTGGTTGCTAGTCTGACAAACCTCAAAGGGAAGGGGTTTGGGGGGTGGGAAGAAATAAACCAAAGAACTTATATGCATATATGCATAACCAATGGACACAGACAACAGTGTGGGAAAAGGCAGGAGGAGGGCAGGAGTGGGTAGGAGGAGATCAATGGGGGAAAAATGAGGAACATCTGTAATACATTCAACAATAAAGATAGATAGATAGATAGATAGATAGAAGATAGAAAGAAAGAAAGAAAGAAAAGAAAGAAAGAAAGAAAGAAAGAAAGAAAGAAAGAAAGAAAGAGAAAGAAAGAAAGAAAGAACTTATCAGGTTGTACAGTCATCATCATTATAAAACAGTTTCAGAATGTTTTCTCCCCTCGCCCCCCAAGAAAATCTTTCATGCTTATTTACTGTTAATCCCTTTCTCTACCTTTTCACTAGGTAACCACTAATCTACTTTCTGTTGCTATAGATTTTCCTTTTCTGGACATTTTATATAGATGGAGTCATATAATATATAATTTCTTGTGCAATTTATTTCACTTAGCATAGTGCTTTTGAAGTTATCCATTATAGCATTGTATAATTTCTTTTTGTTGCTGAATAGTATTCCATTGTATAGTACACTTTGTTTCTTATTTCTGACTCTTTCGGTATATCACTCAGTGATTATGGCAAAAGACATTTTTATGTTACAATTTTCATTTATTTAAATGTCTTCATATGTTTTAATATTACTATACATATTTTACTAAATATTCCAGTCTTCTTATTTCTGCAGAATCCATTGTTGTGTATTTTTGAAGGGGATTTATGTATATATAAAATTGATTTTTAGAGAGAGAGGGAGATGGAGAGGGAAAGAGAAACATCAGTGTAAGAGTGTAACATCAATCAGCTGCCTCCTGCATGCCCCCTACCAACGATTGAGCCCACAACACAGCAGGTGTTCTGACTGGGAATTGAACTTGTGACCTTTTGGTGTACTGGATGATGCCCAACTAACTGAGCTTCACTGGCTTGGGCTGAAGGGGATTTTTTTCTTAAGGGCACTGTGGTGTAAATAAATCTGGAAATCCTCCCAATATACCTTTCTCTAGAGCCTACAGATCAGTTCTAGGATAAGTGAAAGTGGTACCCTGTCATGCACATGATGAAACTTAATAAATATTTCTTGAATGAATAAATGGTACTATAGCATCATGAAAAGAGTATTTGAAGGTGAATCAGGAGATGTCTTTTAGACCCAGTTCTGTTATTGATCTCCTCTGTGACCTTGGGCACATCATCTCCCTTTCATGAGTCTCTGTTTTCCATCATAAAATGATATGTTGGTCTTTGTGATCTTTAATGTCTCTTTCAGATCTAAAATGCTATGATACTCTTAAATCCTAATCTGATTGACTTCAAAAGATACTCTTTTCTTAAGAGAATTGCTTTCCTAGCCTTGTTCTAGATACACACTGCTGGAGAGGGCAGAGGCATAGAATGCTTTTAAAACTTTTTTTCTATTTTGCCATAAGGAGAAAAAGCAATAGGGAAATCATTGGGGGAAAAAATAACCTGGAGAGAACCCTCATGCTGCATCCTGGACAAGATATTGTGGTCTGTACAAGCAATCAATAGAAATTTTTGTAGTAAGCTAATATTTTATGTGTTGTCCAGTTCAGTAGCCACTAGCCATATGCAGCTATTGAGCACTTTAAATGTGGCTGATGTGAAGATTCCAAAATGGCAGCAGAGTGAATGGAAGCTACACAGACCACCTCCCAGGACCAAACTGGAATTACAACTAAAATAAGACAAATCGTCATGAGAAAGCAACAGAAAGGCAGTTGGAGAGGACCATATAACCAGGGACAGGAAAAAAGGACACTGAATCTAGCCTGGTAGTTACTGTGGAGGCGTGAGAGGGAAGGCTGGAAGCCCATGGACAGCAGCATTGTAGCTGTGAGCAGCTCTCTTGGAGTTAAAATCCCAAGCCGGTTCCACAGCACAGAGGGCCAGGACACAGCATTAAATTAGCTACAGCCACTCACCTTGGGCTCCAGC